TCTTGTGAAAGCTGTGAGAAAATATTTTACGTGTTGTCCGTTCTTTTTCCTTATGCTTATTTGGTGATATGGACTATGGTAGGACACTTGCATGAGCATACACGTAGTTAAGCACTCTTATCGGATAAGAGGTGTTCTTGATATTGTTGAGTATAGATGGTCACCCTTGTTTACTTGCCTTCTATGTGAGAATGGCTCTATTGGTACGTGAGTCGTCAGTGCGGTTATGAGGTATTATAAGGGCACATGATGCCAAGTGTTAGGGTTCAGGTATTGAGACCCGTGAGTTGTGAATTGTCCGAGGTTTGGTACCTCGTGGAGTTGTTGGCAAAAACCTGATGTAAAAGCGGTTGTAGTTGCTGAGTTATTACTTGTCCTTGTTGTATTTGTGATTCCGAATTTAGGTTGGGTTGCATTCATTTTTCTGTATCATTTTCATGATATTTCGCTGACACTGGTTATTTCCTTCCTTATTGCCATTACTGTACCGTGAGCCATATTGCATAGTCTTTACGCAAACATCATACTTTTGTTGCTCATATATTTGTAGCTGTTTAGTTTATTAGACCAGTGAGTGTCTTGACTGTTCCTCGTCACTACTCCACCGAGGTTAGTCTTGATACTTACTGGGCACCATTGTGGTGTGCTCATGCTACTTTTCTGCACATTATTTTGTGCAGATCCAGGTAATTATTCGTTAGCTAGCTGTGTGGACTGTTGCTGCGGAGACTCAAGGTAAACCTGCCGCTGTATTCGCAGGTTTCGGAGTCACCTTCAAGTTTTTGTTTTGCATTATTTATTCTTATTTATCGACAGTTGTATTTAGAAGTTTTCTAGCAAATACTTTGTAGAGCTTATGACTTGTGCTACCGATTTTGGGAATAGTAAGAGATTTCTATTTAACTTGTTAGATGTTATTTAAATAATGTTGTTTCAATTAATGATTAGGCTTACCTAGTCCCTAAGATTAGGTGTCATCACGATACCAAACGGAGGGAAAAATTGGGTCGTGACAGTTAGTTAATAATATTGGATTATAATTGAGTATTTCAATCAGATTACATATTTGTGAGATGAAATTATAGGATTTGGGCCTCAGGATTTCAAAATAAAAATTTGAAATTTGGAGGTCGAGTTGATGTCGGAATTTGGTAAAATTGGTATGGTTGGACTCGTGGTTGAATGAGTATTCATATTTTATAACTTTTGTCGGGTTTCGAGTCATGGACTCCACAGGCAATTTTTGAGTTAAATTTTGGGGGTTTTTTTTGAAAAAAATATGTATTTTCATATGGAATTAATTTCTATAATTTGTAGTGATTGAATCGAATTAATTGTAAATAGATTCGAGCCGATCAGAGTGAGAAAAACATGGAAAAAGCATTCTTATTAACTGATTGAGCTTGGCTTGAAGTAAGTGACTAGTCTAACTTTGTGTGGGGGAAATTCTCTTAGGATTTGGTACTGTTGTAATAATTTGTGATATGTAAATGTCGTGTACGTGAGGTGACGGGTGCGTACACATGCTGATTATGAAAAAATTCGGTTATTGCTGATTTGTCATCTTTTAAAATACATTAACTGAGTTGCCTTAACATTTATAGTGATCATGTCTAGTCTAGTATCACATATCTACGTGCCTTAACTCTTACGAGCAATATGTGCAACATGCTTAACTGAATTACCTCTTTTCCTTGATTTGATTTAAATATTTAACTGTAAGATTTATTGCTGAAAATTTATTGTTCCTCCGACTATCTGCTGCATATTTACTTTGGGACTACGAGGCGGCTCGTCGGGAGATCGCCTGTACCGCATATTTACTTTTGGAACTATGAGGCGGTTCCTCAGGAGATTCCCTGTACCGCATATTTACTTTTGGGATTACGAGGCGGTTCCTCGAGAGATCCCATGTACTGCATATTTACTTTTGGGACTACGAGACAGTTCCTCGGGAGATCCCCTGTACTACATATTTACTTTTAGAACTATGAGGCGGTACCTTGGGAGCGCCCCTGTTGTTTACCTCTATTTGTTGTGTTGTTCACTTCTCAGTCATTTCGTTATATTATTATATCATCTGTCTTACTTTTCTATTATTTTCAGTAGGGCATGACCTGACCTTGTCACTACTCTACCGAGGTTAGACTTGACACTTACTGGGTACCGTTGTGGTGTACTCATACTACTCTTCTGCACATCTTTTTGTGCATATCCAAGTACTTCTTACCGGCCCATATATCAGTGAGCTACATATGAGCGGAGACTTCAAGGTATATCTGCCAGTGTCCGCACACCTCGGAGTCCCTCCTCTATCGTTATCATGTTATTTTTCTTAGTTTAGTAGACTCTAATGTATAGAGATGTTAGTATTTCTCTTATAAGTTTATGACTTATTTCTACCAGATTTTGGTAGATTGTAGTTCTTTGACTTATAATTTTTATTTATTACAAGTATTGGGGTTTGAGTTTCAGACTCTTTATTATGTTATTCCGCAATTTATTAGGCTTATACTAAGTATCATCACGATATTTTATGGAGTATGAATTTGGATCATGACATCAGCTTTATGAGAAGTTCACGTTATATCTTTCCCAAAATGTTAACATGACACACAAAGCTGTTATGGGAAGTAAAAAATAGTTAGTTTTCGTTTAATTTATACTTTCTTTAGTTCAAGTTTGATTCACAAGTTATTATTATTATAGTAACTTTTAAGTGGTATATCTAAATTGAAAATGAATTATTGTAACATTCAATTAAAGCAAAGCTCAACTCAAACAGGTAAATAAAATGATCTGCTTTCTTTTTCTTCTAACGTTTTTGTAGGCAGTTTGCCTTTTGTTTTATTAGAATATAGAATTAAAAAATTTCAAAGATATAACTTTAGGAGTATAAAATAGCTCACAGATCCGAGTAATGCAAAGCATTTGCCTTTTTATACATGAAACAAAACAAAATAAAAAAGAAGCTGAGGTTACAATTGGTAGAAAACTATTTATATCTCTTTTACGGAAGTAAAAATAAAATTCAATAAAATAAGAAATCATAATAGAATAGAAATATAAACAAGCAAAGTACTTTTGTAAAATTCTCTTAAAAATGCTTTTAGAAAATATAAGTAATTAAAATATATTTTTGAATCAAATCGGACTTAGAATTAAAAAATTCCTATTTAAATGAGAGCGACACAAGGAAACTAAGAAGATACATTGTATAAATTGATGAAAAGAATAAATTTTAGTTTAGATCTTAACATAAATTTCATATTCAAACTCTTTTATAATCTATCAATTGTAGGTAATTTTAATACAGTCATATACTCTTGGTTTGAATAAAAAATATTTTTTTGATTCATCTAAATGTAGAATTTGGGATGCATGGTTATGTATTTAGACAAAGAAAGAACGCTCTCGCTAAAACGAAATTTTTTTGTAGATTAATATATTGCAGTAACTTAATTATTTACTTTTGCAATAATAATCTATCTTTCTTAATATGTCAAAAACAATTCCTATATAGTATTTCTTATTGACTGAAGTAATCGAATAATTTCCATTTTGCTCATGAGAAAATAAAGGTCTTGTATAAGTTAGCTGGCCTTGTTTCTGTCTTTTTAAAATAAATTTAAGAATATATATATTTAAAAAAATTTAAAAATTCCTAAAATATTCAAGGGTTGTGTGCTCTTGCTACAACTAAAAAGTAAGAGCAATAACTTGTAAAATTAAAATAGTAAAATTATAAAACTAGAATTGGTTAATATATTGACTGAGATAGTTTAGGACTTATATGTGATTGAGTTTCTTCAATTATTAAGTTAGTTAAAGAGGATAAATAATCATCATTTTTATAAATTTACAAAAAAATTAACTTTTATTTTATATTCAAAAGCAATATTTAATATGATGTTCATGTTACTTTTAAGTGATTGTATTCATTAAGATGAGGTAAACGGGTGCCTTGAGATTAGTTTATTTGAAAAGTACTTTTGAGCAACGATTAATATTTGGTCAAACTTTAAAAATTGTTATTAAGTTATTTTTCTTAAAAGTACTTTAAAAAAATATTTTTGAAGAATTTTTTTTTTCTGCTTCTACAAAACTGCTTCTACTTCTACTTAAAAATAGCTTGCCAAATATTTAAGTTTTAAAAAAATATAATTTGTTTTAAAAAAAAAATGCTTTTAAGTTGGAGAAGTCGAGCAGCCAATTTCGTATTTGCCTTTACTTTATTTGTTTCCAAACCAAACGACCCCTAATTTCTTTTTCCACTTTTTCCCATTTGTTAACAGGTAGCGGTCAGAGATATTTCTCTCTGCTTTTGTGTGTTTCCTCTCTGTTTTCTCATTTCTGTACGTTCCCTGAGGAGGCTTTTCTCTCTCTCTCTCTCTCTTAACACATCCTCCTCCTCTCGGAACTTCATTCACTCACTCTCTCTCTCTCTCTCTCTCTCTCTTAACACATCCTCCTCCTCTCGGAACTTCATTCACTCTCTCTCTCTCTATATATATTTTCTCTCTCAACAGCCATGTCTTCCGATAACTTCACCGACAAAAACGCCGTCTTCCGCAAGCTCAAAGCCAAGCCGGACAACAAGGTTTGCATCTTAATTCATCGAATTTTGTTTTTGATTTGATCGAAAAATTATGTTTTTTGAATTTTTATCTATTTTCTCGCGTGTTTTTTCGTTTGAATCGATTGAAAATTGCGAGATCTGATTTAGATCTAGTGTTTGTGCTGAGTAGATTGTAGTTTCTGAGCGATCTAAGTCAGCTTTTACCTTTTTTTTTTTTTTTGAATTTTATCAGATGTGTTTTGATTGCAATGCGAAGAATCCTACGTGGGCGTCGGTTACGTATGGGATCTTCTTGTGTATTGATTGTTCGGCGACGCATCGTAGCCTTGGTGTTCACATCAGTTTTGTTAGGTACGATTTAAAGTTTGATTTTTTACTCGTCTTCGTTTTTGGATTCATGAGCTGATTTTTAGCTTGATAATTTGTTTTCATGATGAGTGGATTTTGTTCGGAGTTCTATAAGGCATGGTTTTTGGTTTTATAAATATATCGAAAAAATGATTAGAAATGTTGAAATCAATAGAATCAACAGGTTCGAAGCCGTGACTTCTGCCTTATAAATAAGTGGCTGATTTAAAATGTGGACTGAGGTAAGTTCGGACCCGCTGTCTTGAGTAGGGGCAGATGTACTGTTCGGGGTACGGGTTTGGTAGAACTCAGAAGTTTTGGCCTAAGCCATGTATGTTTCCTAAGAATTTCACTTAATATGAATAGATTATTAATTTAGAACCCATTAACTCATAATTGCCTAAACCCCGCACCTTTAAACTTCAAATCATGGATCCGCCTATGGTCTTGAACTCAAGTTATATGTTGTTGAAATTTATTTAAAAATATGTAGTTATAATAGGAGTAGTGGGGTGCAATGGTATTCTACTTGATTCTAAATCCTGAATTCGTCTCTGTTTATTGGACGCTGAAATTTTAATTTTTTGCTGCGTTCCTTACGAGGTGCTTTAGGCAATGGTCTTTGATACAAGGGAACAGATTCTATACTGTGAAAAGAATTATGCTAATGATGAAAGCATTTTAAAGATCTAATTATGTGGCATGGTCCCGGGCCCTAAACTCCTCCTAATTGTAGAATATGTGGACGTTGAGCGCGCCATTGGGCTAGATGCAGTGAAATCCATTGGTTTCTCAACTATCTTGCTTTGTTTTCTCTCCTTGATATGTGGTTTTTAGGGTTACATGTGGTCCAAGTTTTTGGTGGTAGTTGATAGATATGTATTGCTCCTATTGCTCAATATTGCAATTACAGTCAGACCTCTCTATAACATCCCTATATAACAACACTTCACTATAAAAGCCAAGCTTTTCCGGAATGTTATGTTATAATATATGTTCTATATAACAACACTTAGTTATAACATCCAAAAATATTCGGAACAAACGAGGCTGTTATAGAGAGGTTTGACTCCTGAGCACGTATCAAAAGATTGCATCTTTTGATGAATATGTGTCCGACAATCTTGATTATGGATTAAGCTTAATCTTATGCTCCGTATTCGATCATTGATGCAAACGATAAATTTTGAACAAGAAATGGTCAACACCACATGATTTCCTTTTATGGCGGATATTGGTGCGCATACCCCTTTTCGAGAAAGACTATTGATATATGACCTCTTCGAAGCTACAACCAGTATGCGAATATGGACGATCTAGTATGAATCCCATATGTGTTTCTTATACAATACCATTCCCGCAGTTTCTGGTTCGAAACCATTATCTTCATCCCATATGTGCCACAACAGCTTCATTTTGCCCAACAATTGGTATGACCACCTTAAGAGACTTTATGTGTTTGCACCAAGGGCTTTGGTTTAGCGGTAAGAGCGCAATGTTTGATGTGTGGATTAGGCGCATGCCACAGGTTTTGAATCCTGTAGCGGAAAAAAGTTTGGTGTTTAAGTGGAGAAGGGTAGAAGGTGGCCCCTTTATCTACCGAGTTCCGAACCGTGCACCATTGGCACTTGTGAATTTTTTGATTATTAGAGAAATGGAGAGATTTTTCTTGTGTTACTTGCAGTGTCCTACCTAATTACCTATCATGGTTAACAAAACCGACAAAGTGAGCCATCATAATCTGGCTACTTTTATTCTTAACACATTTTCTTCCATCTCATTGAAAAATCCATATTCTTTCTTTGGAGGAGGGTGTGAATGAAGCCTTCTCTTTTCATCCACTACTAGTTCTTCACATTTTTTCCGATGACGGTGGTGTCGGGGCCAGTTTGAATGCTCCTTAATTATTCTACCGGGTACCTGGTTACCTCCCACTAGCACATGTACCAGGTGGACTCTGTCTACCTAGGCTTGGGCGTATGTGAAGAAATCACCTATTGGTTTTTTGGCTTCACTAGGATTTGAATATGAGACTTCATGATTCTCTTCCTACTTCATTGACCCCTAGGTCACACCCTTGGGTGCATGCTAGTTCTTCATATTATATAATGTCACTGCTATTTTTTTCAAATGACACTGCCAATGGGATGAATCTAAGAGAGGAAGAACAGAAAAGTAAGCCGAGGAAGAACGGAAAAGGACGAGGAAGAATAGAAAAGGAGAAGTTCTAAATGGCCATGTCAGACTTCTTGGCTGACATGCGTTCTTTTTATAACAACCGGCATGACCACTGCATCACACTTTGGGCCTCGTCAGTTCCATTGTTGCTCATCTCACCTCACCATGGTAGCTGGACCTTCCTACCTCTAACAATCAGCATGTCAGTATGTTAGTCAAGCGAAGACAATAATAGCATTTTATTACCTTATGAAAAAATGATGACAACAATGGCATGGTTAGTGATTAATCTATACATTGTTAAACCTAACCTGATCATTTGATTGATTATGAGAACAATTGGCCATCGGAGATTATGGAAGGCCATGAAGGCTAGATTTTGAGGTATTTTTGTGGGTCGGCTTGCTTCAAAAGAGAAAAGAGGGTGGGTGGGGGTTGGGGGTGGGGTTTGAAAGGCAGAAGTGGAATGTAGAGTTTGAATGCATGTATCTGTTAGTATGTGTTAGAGATAGAGAGGGGTGATAATATTGCTTTGCATTTCCTTTATCATGGTTGAGATGTTCATTATGGGCCGAGAGTTATCTTCTGACCCACCCCCTTTTCGTTTGTAATGTTTTGAGGTGGGAATGGGTATGGCCAACCGGAAACAAATAAATTCTGCATTTTCTTTGTTATTTTGGCATTACTAACTGTCAGTTCTCTGATGAATTGATTCTTGCAGATCAACAAATTTAGATTCATGGTCTCCAGAGCAGTTAAAGATGATGTACTTTGGTGGAAACAACCGTGCTCAAGTTTTTTTCAAGCAGCACGGATGGACGGATGGCGGCAAGGTTGAAGCCAAGTATACCTCCAGGGCTGCTGAATTGTATAAACAATTACTATCAAAAGAAGTTGCTAAAAGTAAAGCAGAGGATGCAGGTTTGCCAGCATCGCCTTTTGCCTCTCAGGCTGTGCAGAGTACGAATGGATTTTCTGATGTTAAGACTAGTGAAGCTCCAAAAGAAACCTCATCATTTAAGGAAGAAACTCCTGCTTCGCCCAAAGCATCACAATCAGTTGTTACTACTTCAATTAGGAAACCTATAGGTGCAAAGAAATCTGGGAAGCCAGGTGGTGGACTTGGAGCTCGGAAACTTACTAAAAAGGTATTCTTAGTCTTATGAGCTAGAGAAATGATTGCAGGGTATAAATTGCATATTCTGAAATGAAGACTTATATGTGCGGTTTAGAGTAAGCTGTTTAACAAATTTGCTCCACCAATTTGGAATTTATTAATTGATTAAGCATCTTTTACCGGTGTACAGCCAAGTGAAAGTCTCTACGACCAGAAGCCTGAAGAACCGCCTGTTCAAGTTTCTTCCTCCAATTCTACAAGTAATGCATCAACTGTTGGTTCATCATTCGCATCTCGCTTTGAGTACACAGACAATGTCCAACCCGCTGAGATGAGTTCTGGAGGCCCTCGTGTTCTTAACCATGTATCCCCTCCAATGTCCTCCAGCTTTTTTTCGGACTACGGAATGGACAGCGGTTTCACAAAGAAGACAAGTTCAAATTCGTCAAAAGTTCAAGTGAGTTTGTATTCTAGTTTTGTTTTCAATCATATGAGGATTCTAATGAACTGTTACAGTTGAACTTAAATGTTGACATGATTATATGTGAGATATGAAGAAAGTGGTGTCGGACTTAGTTACAAGGTAAAGATATAAGCTTCATTTTTCACCTTAATATCACCAGGAATATTAGTTCCTTGGTACGACTATACCTTTTTCACGTCCTATTACCTAGTATACACATTTGATCTATCTGAAGCAGGCTTGAGTTTTTCTGAACCTGCATAAGTGCTATATCCAAGATGAGCAATTTAATGTATACAATTAAAAAAAGGGCAGCATGTTGCACTAAGCTCCTGCTATGCTTGGGTCAGGAAAGGACCGGACCACATTGGGTCTGATGTACGCAGTCGCCTTACCTTGCATTTATACAAAAGGCTGTTTCCATGGTTTGAACCCATGAGGTCATGGCAGCAACATTTATTGTTGCGCGGAGGTTTCCCTTCCATTGAGCTTCTGAAAGATTGGGGGTAGTGATTTGTGAAAGATTTACTGCTTTATGATCCTATTCCAGCATCCTGCACTGTGAATAATTACAAGGATTGTCACTGAATTGAAAAAAAATTGTTTCCCTTGGATCTTTGGATGCTTCTCGACGGTCTATTTGCTTTTCTTTTTTTCTTTTTAAATGAAACTACCCATTACCACTCTTGAAATACTTATTGCCCCACTCCCTTCCCCACTGAAGAAACATTTTCATTAGGTTAACCCAAATCGCTAGTGTCTCTACCTTTTTAGTCATTCAAGAAAAAGTAAATGTTCATCCTAAACATTACCAGTGCAAGTTTCAAGTGTCTGCTTACTAATGAAAAAGAAAAAGAAACAACTTTTGGATGTTTTCTTTTTGAAATATAGGTTGCCTGGAATATTCTTTGTTGTTTTTAAACCTCATCTTGTGCTGGATTTGTCCTTTAATTTGTGATTTACTGCTCTCACTCAGTTCTTCTTTTGCTCCTGATAGACGAGTTGACTGCTTTGCCTAAGTTATTTCTGTAGTCTTCAAGTTTTCTTTTCTCTCTTCTCCTTTATCATCTTCACTGGCCGTGTTTATTTCACTGTAACTCACATCCTATTTTAATCAGATTGAGGAAACTGATGAAGCAAGGAAGAAGTTTTCTAATGCAAAAGCCATTTCATCTGCCCAATTCTTTGGTGATAAGAGCAAAGCTGAAATGGAAGCCTCAGTTTCTCTGCAGAAGTTCTCGGTATGCTTGCTTATTGTAGTTAACATGCCCATATTTTTAGGGGCCTTGCTGGTTTTTCAGTCAGCATGCAAACAATGAAAAACCCTCTCCCTTCCCTCATTCATTATGATAGTTAGGGTCTTGTCCTACTAATTAGAAATAACTATTATCGCAACAACATTATGCCCCATGTTCTCCTTTTTTCTTCCCATTCCCTTTTGTCCTTTAATGCACTGTACTTCTTCCCATGCTATCATTTTGCTGGGTTTTTTTTTTTTTGATGAAGTAAGAGAATTTCATTAAAGGCATCAAGAAGATGCATAGCAAAAGAGAGTACAAGTAAATAGAGTGTGTCTGCTCATAAACATAACAAAAAGAAACCTATGTTAAAACTAAGGAGCAGACACAGTCCAAAAAATGATCACAACTAGATACAGGTGCCTGATTAAGCCAAGTAAAAAGGTTAAATAAACATTTAGCTTTAAGAGCATGATTTGGATTTGATATCCCATCAAAACATCTGCTATTCCTTTCAGTCCATATACACCAGAAAATAGAAGCGGGGACCAAAAGTCAAGTTTTTTTGATGGATTTGCCAACTCTCCAAGAGCACCAGCTTTCGTAGGCCTCTTTAATACTATTAGGCATGACCCAGGCTAGTCCAAAAATTGAGAAGAACATACTCCACAAATCTGCTGCAACTGCACAATGGAGAAAAAGATGCCTCACACTCTCTGCCTTCATCTGACACGTAGCACCTATTCACAATGTAGATGTTCCTCCGACTTAGATTATCTTGAGTGAGACATGCTTCATATAAGGTTATCCAAGTGAAGCCAATTACTTTAGGTGGAAGTTTATAGTTCTCCAGATGAGTTTCCATGGCCAGTTGTCAATCTACTCCTTGTTTGAGCACAAATGTACATAACCTTTCTTGACAGTGAATATCCCATCATGTTGGCCATTCCATAATAGTCTGTCTCTCCTGAGGTTTGATAGTGACCCCTGCTAGCTTAGATTGAAGCTCCAGATAGTCATTTAGCTCCCAGTCCTGTAAGTTTCTCCCTGTCTGTAGGTCCCATGAGTTGTTGTGCCATATTTGACCCACTGTGGAGTTTTGATTGCTAGCTATGAGATATAAATTTGGGTAGTCTTCTTTCAGAGTCTGGTTCCCTAACCACTTATCCTTCTAGAATGATACATGCGCTCCATTCCCTAACTTTATTGAACAATTGAGCTGGAATTCACCCCATAGGCTTGAGATATGCTTCCAGGGACCAGTGCCATGTGGTAATCTGCTCTGTTTGGTGCACCATTGACTCAGCACCCCATACTTTGCCATGATCACATCTTTCCACATCCCAATGTTCTCCATGTTGTACCTCCAATGCCACTTAATTAGCATGCTCTTGTTGTGCAATTTTAAGTCTTTTATGCCCAACCCTCCATGCTCCTTTGGCAAAATCACTCTTGGCCATTTCACCAGATGAAATTTGTTGTTTTGACTATTTCCTCCCCACAGAAAGTTTCTATTAATTTTGTCTAACCTTTTCTGCACCCTGGCTGGTATAGGAAATAGGGACATGAAGTATGTTGGTATGCTGTCCAGGACACTGTTAATGGGTGTTGTTCTGCCCCCAAGTGAAAGATACTGCATTTGCCAAGTTTCAAGCTTTGTTTCAAATTTCTCTACTATCCCATTCCAGATATCTGGTGACTTGACTTTGGCTCCAAGTGGTAGACCCAAATATGTTGTGGAAAAAGATCCCACATTGCAACCCATTAGCTCTGCTAGCTCCTCCATATTTGGTAAATAGTGCTCTTAAATCTGTTCATGTGGAGGCCGGATATAGCTTCAAAAATCATGAGTGTGAGGTTAAGATAGAGCACCTGCGACCTATCAGCTCCACAGAAAATAAGTGTGTCATATGCATACAAGAGATGGGAGACACTAATTCAGCTCCCAACAGAACTTTCCACCTTGAAACCCTCCAACCAGTGTATTTGGTTTGCTTTGTCAAGCATTTCGCTAAGGCCTTACATTGCCAAAATGAACAAAAAGGATGAGAGGATTCCGTTGACAAGAACTGAATACTTCACAGTGGTTACACAAAACTTGATCCACCTGATCCAACCTGCACCAAACCCCATCTTCCTAATTATATTGAATAGGTAAGACCAGTTTAGCTGGTCAAAGGCCTTTTCAATAGCAAGTTTGAAAAGGAGACCTGGCTGCCCTGATTTCTGCCTCCAGTCTAGTACCTCATTAGCAATTAGTGCAGCATCAGTGATTTGTCTTGTTTTGATGAATGCATTTTGATGCCCTGAGACAAGCTTCCCAATCACTCTTTTCAGTCTTTCTGCCAGGATTTTGGAGGCAATCTTGTAACTTAAAAAGAGACTGTTCAACAGTTACTGTGAGAGCCTTCTACAATGGAACTTATTAATTACCAGTACTTGGGTTGCAGAACCACATTTATCTGTATGTTGAAGATACCTTATCGATGCTGTTTACTGAGGCGTAGATTGAAGGATATATACGATGGATAATTTTTGAAATTCCATTCATGGAGATAATGGTGAAGACCATTTGCCATAACTTGAGATAATGGTGTCTAGCTGACCTCTTGTTTGTTCGCTTCATAATTGCTTATGTTCATTTGCATAACAAGTTATCTACTGGTCCGACGTACTGTGGAATAGTTTACCCCTCAGGTGTTTTTAATACTTAATCTCATTTTGAAGGAGCTTGTAATAGCTACTTCAGCAAATGAATATGATTTGTAAGCTAAAATGATCCGCACAGCTGATAGCATTAGTCCTAATCTGATTATTTACCTGTTACATTTGCCTGTCGGGTTGCTTCCGCTAGTGCTTATTGTATATTTACTTCGTCAAAAAAAACTTTGTGCTTATTTTGTATTTTGTCTGACCCATGTCTGAAGAATCCTTTAGTGTCAATTTCTAAACGAGTGCAACTATATTACTTGAGCTTGACCTGAAAAGCGATAAGTTCACCTAGAAATGTATGAGTCCAACTCGTGCTCCTAAAAATGTGTTCTGCTATCTATTCCTCAGGGTTCAAGTGCCATTTCAAGTGCAGACCTTTTTGGTAACGATGATAGAGCAGATTTGGACCTCACTGCTGGTGATCTCATTAACCGGCTCTCTTTCCAGGTATAGAAGCAATAATAACACAAATGTAAACGCTTTTCAATTCCCATAAGCAAATTTTGAACGGATTGCTCTTTCGTTTGTCTCTATGTTTTCAGGCACAGCAGGACATCTCCTCTCTGAAAAATATTGCTGGAGAAACTGGAAAGAAACTTGGCTCCTTGGCAGCAACCTTAATGTCCGACTTTCAAGACAGAATCCTGTGAGGAAGTCACCTTGTGTTTAAAGTCGAGATTTGTATGAATTTTTTTCAGAAAATGAAAATAAGAGTAGAACTCATAGGTTTTTGAGGAAGCTGGTCTTGTCTTATTAAAAATTTCGTTATGTATGTTTTTCTTTTTCTTTATTTAGTTCTTGATAAGGTTCATAGAGCTTTGTTAAACATTTTACTGTGTACTAGACTGCGTCCGAGTTGTGAAATCAGCGAATTGTAAACTAGTGAAAACTATTTCTCTTTATCAGCCTGGCATATTTATAGCATGTTCGGCCAAGCATCTTTTTGGGCCAAAAGTGCTTTGTTTTTGGGCCAAAAATTGAGGTGTTTGGCCCAGCTTTTGTAAGGAAAAAAAGTGCTTTTGAGGAGAAACAGAATCATTGTTTGAGAAACAGAAAAAAATAGTTTCTCTCCAAGAACACTTTTTTGAGAAGCACTTTTGAGAAAAATACGCTTAGAAGCAGTTTTCAAAAGATTGGTCAAACACCAATTATTGCTTAAAAGTGCTTTTTAAATTAATTAGTCTGTTTCTTCCTCAAAATACTTTTTAAAAAAGTACTTTTGAGAAAAGCACTTCTCAAAATAAGCTGATGTTAGAAACTTGGCCAAACAGGCTATTACTCCTACCACAGTCGCCAGCCAAGTCTATTGTAATTCCAGTTTCTTGATGCTAGAGGTCAGATTGTGATAGCTTCATTCAACTTCAATCAAGTTTGGGCTGGTAATCAAATTTTAATGATTTAACTGTCACAAAATCAAAGCAAGCTTAAACAACTTATTTGTGTTTGGTTACACTGTAAATATTATCCGTTTGCACTTGGTGAAAGCCTTGATTTTAATCTTAACGGATACCACTACCACAAGCAACCGCTGTCAATCCCTACCATACCAACTATTTCCACCATCACAATAATTACTTTGGCAAACCACCACGACCCAACAACAACCAACCCAGTAACCAACCCAGTATAGTCTCATAAGTGAGCTCCGGGAAAGATAGATAGTACGCAGATTTTACCCCTACTGTGAATGTAGAGATAATCATTTCCACTATACCCTTACCCCTACAATGAATGTAGAGAAGTTGTTTCCAGTAGACGCTTGATACGAGGAAAAATGAGACAAACCACCACGACCAACATTATCAAATATACTGCCATCATCATTGGTCATCGCTACCACTATAACCAAACACCTTCGTCATTACAACCACCATCGACAACCATTACCATCATCACCAAGTACTAGCACCAACCACCTTCGTTATTACAATAACACCAACTCCGCGAGCCACTACCGCCAAATCTACATACATTGCCATCAACTACAACCACCAAAAACTATCACTTTACAACCTAATATTATTTTTCGAGTAAAACATCTTAACATATGTATCAGATTTAGATATTTTAATTTTACCAAAACAAAGATGGCCCCTTTAAGCTAGTTTTCTCTTTGTGAAACATTTGAAAGGCACAAAAAAATAATTACTTCTCTTTCTTTGTCCCATTTTATCCGATATCAAAATATTTTAAGATTTATTAAAATAAGAAATATTAGACATAAATTAAAACGGAGGAAGAATAACTTTACCATTTGGAGCAATATACTATTGTTTTATATTTCACAAAATATGGAAAAAGAAAATTACATTAGGCAAGTTTACTCCCGCTGTTTCTCTCATTGGCTACATAAAGGTCCCTCCAATTGACTGAAATGTCGGTTCAACTTTCCCTCCCTTTTCAAAACCCTCCAATTATCAAATCCACTTCGATTTCCCTCCATTCTTCAAATCCATAACTACCAAATTTGTCTTTCCCTTTCATAGATTACAACAATCTAAGTTCAAATCCCATCTCAAATCTTCAAAAAAACGTACCTTCAAAACCCAATTTTTGATTTCTTTTCCAAAGAAAACCCCTTTTCTCTCAGTTTTTCAACACCCATTTCGTAAAAAAGCCTAAAGATTCATTCTTTACCATTAAAATTAGCCGATTTTCACAAAATCTTAGCTGGGTCACCCCCAATCATACCCTTCAAAAACCCTAGTTTTTAACCCCAAAGTTTCAAGAAAATCCTATTTTTTCTCTGTTTGTTTGACATTTCAATGGAAACCCATCTCGTGGAAAGCCTAAAGATTCAACCTTTACCTGTTAATTCAGTTGAATTTCAAAAAACCTTAGATGGGTCATCCCCAAATTCGCCGAATCAAGCTCAGCAAAGTGATGAATTGGAAAAAGATGGTGACGTTTTGGCAGAAGAAGATTCCAGAAGAGTTGAGAATGAAAATGAGGAGAATTTGGATTTGGATTCTAATTGGGCTGATTCTTGGGCCAAAGTTACTGATTCAAGCCCATTGGACTCGCAATGGTCTGTTGATACTGCTGATTATGGGCCTTCGTCTTCAGAAATTAAGCCATTGGACTCAGTTGGGCCCGAATGGAATTTTCAAAGAGATGAGGAAACTAAGCCTGAAATCTCTGATCTGCCCTTTGAGAATCAGACTTTTAAGCTGGTAAGAACTTTGTCAATTGGTCAATTTACTCAGACACATATATTATTTTAGATTAAGCAGTTGTATGGATTGTTATTTAAGTTAATTCTTCTATAGTTTAATACTAATTTTTCTATTTCAATTTATGTAAACCTATTTGATTGACTACATAGATTAAGAAAGAAAGTAATTTTGAACATGCCATAAAATTTGTGTGATTACTAATCTTAGTGTATTCACAGTCACGTCTCATTGAGAATTTATTTTTAAAATTGTTTCAATATTCTATTAAAATTTAAGTTTAAGTTATCTAATAAAAGTGTAAGTTTATAAAAATAATGAATGTTGATCCTAAACTTAGCAATAAAGAACTCGCCCCATAAAACTGCTCAATCATCAGTTAAAAAGTAGATTTGAAGTGTATTCATATAATCATTACAATGGTGTTTAAAATATATATTTTTCAACATACACATTTTAAGATTTTTATTGAGTTGTAAAATAGAATTATAGTTAAGTAATTAAAGTTATTCATTAGTAACATTTTAGCGAAACACTACTTGAGTCCAACTGATTTGATATTATCTCACTTAATTTACGAATAATGTTGTTGATATATTTTCTCTTTTATCATTTGAATGACTTTGTAACAAAAACAATGTTACTGTTAATGCGATGTTTATCATGAATGTCAACCACTTGCTCGTACTCATAATTAATAAGCATTATAAATCACCCAACATTAAAGGACATGATTTAATAAGGTAAACAAAATTTTGTTGATTTAAAAGTCATAAATATTATTAAAATAAGAAAATGACTCAGTAATTCTTATCGTTTATCACATTTGAATATTCGGCTTTATTCAACTCTTGATTAGTATGTAAACAATACTTGTGGCACTCAAGTTATTTATAATCTAAATATACTTAAAAATTCATATAATCTATTCATATCATTAAAAATTCATAATTTTCATGTAATAATTATATTATTAAAAGATATTCATGCATTTTCCTGTGAAAATATAACAAAAATAAAACACATGACATTTAAACAATAATCCAGTTTAGTTTTGCTAAGTGGTTGAGTTTTCTATTCTCATTACTCCATAAATATAGTTTTGTCATTTGTTCTAATTATTGAGTTTAGATTAAATTATTATGCAAAAATTGATAAATAAAAAATATTTTAATATGAAACTAATTGAAATTTAATAGTATAAAAATATGATAGAGTTCATATATATAGGTCAAAGGTAAACTAGAAGGAATTAAACACTTAAGTGCCGCAATACATTCCTCATAATCTGATTGAACAAATGTGATTCAAAAAGTTAAACCTCTAAACTAATGATAGAACAAATTACAGATAAAATTAGTTTTGTCGCCACTATTTTACCCAATTCTACGGAAGAATCTCTTAGCAAAATATGCCATACTTGACTAACATCATAAGTTTTTCTTCATTTTATTTTATTGTACGGTGATAATAAAGTCTTGATCAATTTTTAGTCCTATATTAGGACTTTTTACATAGTTCAAATAAGAAATACTTTAAGAACCAAAATTTAGGTGATCTTAAATTTTTTAAATATTAGGAAACTAATTAAATTACAATTCTATCCAATATAATTTTTTTAAAGAAAAGAAAAACAGAATTTATATTGGATAATTATAATTTAATTGTTTTTCTAATATTTAGGGTTTACATTTTTAAGCTTAAAAAGGTGAATGATTATTTTGCTAAGGGGCTTCGTGCATTTAATATAATATTGACGTAGATATAAATTCTCATTAACGGTAAAATGTGAAGTCTAAATTAAATTATTTCTAAATCTAGAAAGGTGTCATGGACTAAAAAATAAATAGATTGAAACGGAGGGAGTATTTATTAAGATAAATTAGGCATTACTCTATTTGTATGACATCTCGATCAATGGATTACATTTCAATCTCAAGCTAATTGGTGGTCGGTTATATAAACTCATTATAGTTGTTTCGTTTTGTTCACGCCTATTTTATTTCAATACTAAATAGTTTGTCTGTTAAGGCAAATTAGTGGTTCTTGTATGTATAAAACATTTCAATCAATTAACACATTATCAAACTAGTTGGTTCGGCTATATGAATTCTTTTCATCATTCCTCTTATCAAGTCTTATTTTTTTTCCAAACTAAATACTTATGTCTATTCAGGATCAAACAAAATCTCATTTATGCTCCTCTGAACTCACTGTTTTTCTTCTCCTTTTGTTATTGGCTGTTATTAGGGTGCTGGACTTGCTAATTTAGGCAACACATGCTTTCTAAATGCGGTTTTGCAATCTTTCATTCACACAGTGCCTTTGCTTCAGCTCCTTACGTCGAATGATCATACATCCCCATGTGATAGTAAGGACTAACACAGAATTTGCCTTTGTTTTAAGCTGCTTTGAGTTATTTCAGTGTATTTGATTAAAAACGTTTCTGTTTTTTAATTTGGAGTGGCTTTTTCTTTGTTTATTATCAATGCTGATTATCATTTCTTGTTTATGTATATTGGTTGCAGGTTACCTTAGAGGATTCTGCGTATTTTATGCTTTTAGGGAGCTTATTGATCTTTCATTGGCTTCTGGGGGTGGTGTTGTCTCGCCGTGGAAACTTGTTAACAATTTAAACCGTATCCTTTCTCATGTCTTGTTTGACATTTAATAAAATATTTCCTTCTAGCATACAAGAGCGGAGCTAGAAGTCTGTAGGTGGGTTCGGCCGAATGCAATAGCTTTTGCTCAAATAATATATTTGTGTTAAGAAATTCATTACATATGTACAAATATTAAATTTAGAACCCAATTATTAACACTTGAGGTCGTCGTTCTAAAATCCAGAATCCATAGAGTTGAAATCCTAGCTCCATACATGCAGATGTATATCTATTTCACTGCTTAGATGTTTGCTACTCTGATGTTTTTTGTTATGTTATTTCATTGTGCTTGTGCATGCTTTCCAATTTCTTCTAAGAGCTATGCTCTTTACCAGATTATAAGAAATTGGCTTGACTTTTGTTATAGTACTGTAGATTATGATACGTTCAAGTTTCTCTTTCTTTTCCTTTTTCACAATAATTGAAAAAGCCGGCTTGTGTGCTTCATGCCTTTGAAGCAACGTTGTACCTAGTATTTCTTTGTAGTCCTTAACTTAGTGAAAATATTAGATTTTTCATCCAGTTTTCATAGGTTCCAACAAGAAGACGCTCATGAATTCCTCCAATGTTTTCTGGATAGACTTGAAAGCTGTTGTAATGATTCAGGGCCGAAAGACAGGGCAGCACCATCGGAAAGTGACAACATTGTGAAGCAGGCCTTTGGTGGTCGCCTTGTCAGCAAAGTAAGCATACAAGATTACTATCTTATTCTTTTTTTTTATTGCTTTGAAAATAAAATGAATAGATTAAATAGATTTTCATACATTTAAAATTGCATCTGCATGCACTGGCATACACATGAATTTTTGTAAGCGGTGAATATTTGAAAAGGCGAACAAATGAATAAATCACTATAACGGCACCAATATTTTATTTATATTTATTATTTATAGATACAATAGATCCTTGTGGTCTGGCCCTTCCTTGGCCCGCGCATAGCGGGAGCTTAGTGCACCGGGCTTCCCAATTTATAGATACATATTACGAAAAAATATCGACGAAGCTGTGTCATGTGCCTACGCCCCTGTTTGCATGTATGTTCTCTGGGTATGTAGCTTGCGAATATGGAATTAATAATGTTTATGTCTTTCTTAAACTGCAGCTACGCTGTTGCAATTGTGGTCACTGCTCCGACACTTATGAGCCTCTAATTGATCTAAGTTTGGAGATCAAGGATGTTGACAGTTTACCCGAAGCTTTGGAGTCTTTCACAAAAATTGAGAAAATTGATGATCCAGAGATAAAGTTTTCATGTGAAAAATGTAAGGAACAAGTGCCAATCGAGAAGCAGCTTGTGCTCGATAAGGCCCCTTCTGTCGCTGCCTTCCATTTGAAGAGATTTGAAAATGATGGTTCTTTTGTTGAGAAGGTTGACAAACATGTTTCATTTCCACTGGAATTGGACTTGCTTCCTTATACTGATAGCAACCAAATTGCTAATGTGAGTATCTGTTACTTATGTGAACCTACTCTAGGAGTTGGCCTTATTTTTTGATAGAGGAATTTAAGTTGTTCTATGCGTGCAGTAACATGATATTAGTCTAATTTTCCCTTATCTCAACAGGAAGAAATGAAGTACGATCTTTATGCAGTTATAGTGCATAGCGGGTTTTCATCCTGTTCAGGGCATTATTACAGCTTCATTCGTTCTGCACCAGATGAATGGTACAAATTTGATGACTCAGAGGTACATAGCAGGAAACGATGTTCTGCAGTTAGTGTCTTAGCATAGGACTAATCCGTAGATTGTGTAAAATTTCTGAATATTTATGGGGGATGACTAATCCACAGATTTTTGGCGTAGGAGTTAGGACTAATCCATATAAGCATTTATGACAACTAACTTGATATTTTTATTTGATTGTCATAGGTATTTCGGGTTCAAGAAGATCTTGTTTTGGAAGAGGAGGCATATATTATGTTCTATGCAAAGAGAGGCACTCCGTGGTTTTCAGATTTTGTCGAAATGAAAAAGCCCTTCATAGATCCGTCCATATTTAATACTTCTCCAAAGTCTGTTCTAGATAATGTGGATGCTATCTCCATAGCTTCTCCGCGCATGCCAAATAGTCTCACTTGCGATGTCAGTGAATCCAATAATGCTGCAGATGAAGCATCTCCTAAACCTGATCTCGAAAAGATTGAGGATAGTGAATCGAAGGATACTGAGCAGACGTCTACTCCAGGACTAGCTGGTGCAAGGAAATCTCTGGATTCTCATGTAGATGAAGTGTTTTTACCTTCAATGCATGAAGAAAACTATACTCGAGAGGTTGGTGTGACCAAAAGAAGTGCAACTCTTACTCCCAAGACACCGTCTAGATCTCCAAGTCCAGAGATATACCGAGATGATCCCTCTGGTAAACTCATCTTCTACTTTTAGGAGTCGTTTGGTCGATCATATTGGCATAATTAATTTCAGCATAATAGAAATGCCCCTTTTTATTTGAGAGTCCACTGCCTTACTAAATAGAAAAAGAATAGTGCTAAATAACTGATTTGTATTCGCAGAAAACACTTACGCCATTCCTCGTGGCCATCTAGCATTAGCAGATCAGGTTTCTTGCAAGCATCAATCGCAGAAGGATCAAGAGCGGGACTTGGAAAGAAAGCAGGCGTTTTCTCTGATTAAGAAACGAATTCCAGGGTCAAGAGGTCAACAATTAATGGCTGCCATGCGTGGCTCACGCAGTGAAGGTTCCGTGAACAAGAAAAGGAGAAAACTGCAAGTAGTTTAGTTGATGATACTGGTTCAGCTAATCGCCGTAGGTCCAGCTTTGGTTCTGTGTTACATCCTGTAACGGCGGGTAGTTGCAGATGAGTAAGTTGTAACTGGAAAATTTGAACTGAAAGAATAGTCTTTTTGATTTAAAACTACAGGGGTAGTGTATCTTGAACTGGTTAGGGTCAAAAGGGTAGCCCGGTGTGTTAAGCTCCCACTATGCACTGGTCCAGAGAAGGGCCGAACCACAAGGGTCTATTGAACTGGCTAGGGTAGTTTTTGGATATTCAGCTGTTTAGTTTTGTTATTTAACCATGTATAGTACAGACTACAGAGTGAGAATTCATGTTTTTTTCTGAGAGTTCAGAAGATTAACATACATATAATGAAGGATTAGGATTTTGTTTATCCAGTTTTCTTTGGGGTCCAAAAGAAAGTATAAATAACTTTTAATTTAATGTTTTGTTTATATAGTATTAAGATTGATTAGTATTTTATTTGAGTTTTGTATTTTCTTAAATCTTCAATAAAGTTAAAATTTATGCATTTAGATGTTAATGGAACAGATAGTCATCTAATGTGTATTTAGATTTAGATGTTTTAATATTGAAAGAACGGGATCCACCCAAGGTGAGCAAATTCCCCCTAAAATTCGTGAGAAGCTAAAATTGCTGCAAAATAAAATTGTTGTAATGGAGCTTCAAGCTCATAACCATAAATTATGGGGAGGACAAGGTTGTTACTTATTAATTGTTGCCTGTTGTATTGTATCGTATTGTTATTTTAAATATAATATTTATTTTGATTGTTAATTATTTTTTTTCTATTATTTCATTAAATCCGTTGTTATGTAACAATGAAAAATGCACTCTATGGAACGATACAAACAATACAATCTATTCAAACATTATATGCATAAAAAAGATATAGTATAATACAATACAATTCATTATGAAACGATACATAACAACCATCCAAACAACCTATTAATCAATCAGATTCAACTAAACATGAATTAGACATATGCCAGCTATTTTTAGTTTAAGCTATTAGTGGACGACTATTTAGGTTAATTTTTTATTTAAAAAAATATTCGACTACACGACATTCATCGGACCAAAACCCCGATTTGAAGGATTACTAGAGTATTAAAAATGACTAACGACTTTAAAAACTCGTAGTTAGTCGTTCTTTATTACTCACATTAGTCTTTCATTACTGCACATGCATCACCTAGGGACCAGAACAAAATATGGTTCTTTTGGACAAATCAAAATATGTAAAAAAATAAATTGGTCACCATAATATGTATAGCGCGGTATTTCACCGCGCTATACCTTAATGACACGTTTGTCCGTTAAGGTGTAGCGCGGTTATTCACCGCGCTATACTTAATTATTGAGCCCACCAATACTTCTTCTAGTATTAACTGACATACCAGTATTTCAACAGGGTATAACGCGGTGAATTACCGCGTTATACGTACAAATTGGGCCCACTAATAATTCTTTTGTACTTAGTTGACAAACCAATAATTCTACTGGGTATAGCGCTCATACTTAAGGTGCTATATATAATTATTTTCCTTATTTAAAGAGTTTCAGGAGGATTTTGTAAAAATCCATTCAGAATCCTTCAAGTCTTTCGAAATATTTGTTCGTTAAGTTATTTTGCATTTTGTCATAATGTCTGAAGAGCGAAGAATTAAGGTTTCAATATATTGGGGGGGATGGGGGAGGGGTGAGGTTGTGGTGGAGAATAACTTAGTACACTATAGTTGTTCTCCACAGTGTCATGTTAAGTTGCCACTTACAATGGAGTACGATACATTAGTATCGTTGTTATGTAAAAAAATGAGCGTGAGCAAATGTTCGGTGAATATTAAAGTAACCGAAAGATATTCGTATTCTGTTACTCTGCAAGGGGTTGCTTGTTATGTTGAGTTTAACATCGAAGACCGTGAAACTCTGAGATTTTTTTTTGAGGACTCCGGATGAACATCGGGAATATCTTGTGATAAAAATATTGGAAATGTACGTCAAGGCTGAAGATGTTCGCAATAATGAGGTTCCGCAAAGTAGGGATATCCCTCAATCATCGGGTTGTTATTTTGAAGCAGTTTTAGCTGAACAAGTTCTGAGTGAAAGAGTTTGGCCTGATCTAAACTTATCTCCACGGGCGAATGAGGAGCGAGAAAATAATTTCTCCCCTAGTTTACATAATCCACAAGCCGAGTGGTAAACTTTAATTTTTCTTTGTGTTACGATGTTTATTTTTATGTAATGAATTTGTATTAACACTCATATATTCCACATGGGGTACCGGCCATATATGAATTTTATAAGTTATGAACCAATGCCCAGTTGGAATATGCCTAGTTTTGGTGTGTTGGATCATGGTGGTCCATCCGGGAGTCATCATCAACAAGATAATGTCCATCATGGGATATCAAAACATTATGATTTATAAGTGAATGATAAAGCTATATGTAAAGTTTTGATCAATTTGAGAAACTCATTATTTTATTGGTTGTGCAGTGAAAACGAGCAACTTGAAGGTCCTGTCGTAACTCAATTGCCCGAAGACGACATATTTAATCGAGATATGACAGATGCGCAGAGTCAGGAAGAGAATAGTGATTATGACAACAATGCTGATGAGTCTGGAGATGACACACCCTTCCTTGATGAGGGTGATGATGAGGAGGAAGAGAATGCTGAACCTAATTTGACGAGGGAGCATGCTCCACCTCCTGTTAGACCAAGAGTGTACGAGTCCTACGTGCCGTTTCATTCAAGGGATATTCCTTACCTTGATCGTTTGCCAAGTATGCCGGATGTGGATACCCTCACAAGAGATCTTGACGAAATTCGGACATCAATGTGGGATGAATCTAGAGTAACGGTGCTGTCAAATGGCATGCTTTTTGCTGATAAAGCACGCCTAAGCAGGGCGATGCGAATATACATCATAGAAGAGTGTCGTGAGATCGTAGTTCATGAGTCATATCCGGATGTATACAAGATTATTTGTCATAGATGGTTTACGGGTTGTAATTGGATGTTGCGTGCGAGGAAGCTGAAAACAAATATGTGGGGTGTGGGTAAATACATTGTGTAACGACTCGGCCGGTCGTTTTGAGTATTATAACCCCGTTCCCCTATTTAATGCTCAATTTATGCTTTACATTTGTTATGCGACTCGCCGGGGTGATTAGTTCGGGTCCGGTGAAGTTTTGGAATGAATTGGAACGCTTAGTTCCAAAGTTTAAAGTTTAAGTTAAAATAGTGACCGGATGTCGACTTATGTTTAAATAACTCCGGAATAGAGTTTTGATGTTTCCAATAGCTCCGTATGATGATTTTGGACTTAAAAGCGTGTCCAGAAAATTATTTAGAAATCTGTCGTGAAATTTGGCTTGAAATGGCGAAAGTTGAATTTTTGGGAAGTTTGACCGGGGAGTTGACTTTTTGATATTGGAGTCGGAATCCAGTTTTGAAAATTTTCATTGTTCCGTTATGTCATTATGACTTGTGTGCAAAATTTGAGGTCAATCGGACTTGATTTAATAGGTTTCGATATCGAATGTAAAAGTTGGAAATTTTAAGTTTCATTAAGCTTGAATTAAAGTATGATTCGTGGTTTTAGAGTTGTTTGAAGTGATTTGAGGTTTTGAATAAGTTCGTATGCTATTTTAGGACTTGTTGGTGTATTTGATTGAGGTTCCGGGGACCTCGGGTGAGTTTCGGAAGGTTAACGGATCAATTTTGGACTTGGGAAACAACTGAAGAATTTCTGGTATCCAGCTCTGGTTTCCTTCTTTGCGTTCGCGAAGGGGAATTGGGGAAGGCGAGAGTTTGTTCTTCGCGTTCGCGAAGTAAGGGACGCGTTCGCGAAGGGTGAGAGCCAGTGTGCATCGCGAACGTGATAGAGGCCACGCGTTCGCGAAGAAGAGTGAGGGCTGGGGTAGACTTCACGCCTTACCCTATGCGTTCGCGAGTGAGGCATCGCATTTGCGAAGGCTTGGGATCCCTGGTCATTGCGTTCGTGAGAGGACCCTCGTGTTCGCGAAGAGGAAATTTTGGGCAACACATTTTTGTGCTTCGCGAATGCGAGACAAGGGTCGCGTTCGCGAAGAAGAACCCATTGGACAGAAAGTTTAAGTTTTTTCATTTTAGCGATTGGGAGCTCGGGGAGAGGCGATTTTCGGGAGATTTTCAAGAAAAATAATGGGGTAAGTGTTCTTAACTCAATTTTGGTTAAAGTGCCCGAATCTATGGTAGTTTTTAACATTTAATTGGTGGATTAAGTTGGAAAAATTATGAAAATCCCTAAGTTTAGATTAAAGATTTGAGGGTTAAGTTGATATCGAAATTTAGTATTTTTGGTATGGTTGGACTCGTGATTGAATGGGCGTTCATATTTTGTAACTTTTGTCAGGTTTCGAGACGTGATTTTTGGGTTAAATTTTGGATTTGGTTAGAAAATTTGTATTTTCTTATGGAATATATTCCTATAATTTGTATTGATTGAATCAAAATAATTATAACTAGATTCGAGCCAATCGGAGTCAGAAAATCGAGGATAAGGCATACTACTTGACTAATTGAGCGCGTATTGAGGTNCGCATGACCGGTTCCTGCTAAGTGTTTTACCTGTTTAGTTAAAACTCAGTTTCTTTTGTTATATGCATTATTTGAAGGATGAATTTCTTAATTTAAATATTATTAAAAATGAAGTATTTTTTTTTTGATATTTATATAAGGTGTTAAATTTGTGAAATATTATTTTTGCTGAATATTTTGTGATATTTTTGTACTCATTGTGATTGAGCCGTGAGCTCCTTATTGTGGAAAATATTATTGTTGTTGATTTATTTTGTCAAGTTGAAATATTGGGGCACTTGAGGTGCAAACTGTGATATTGATACGCGTACGGTGGTATAAGGTCTGGGTGTTGAAACGCATGCAGTGAGATAAGGGTGACTTGATACGCGTGTCTAGTAGGGGAACTACTAGAAGAAGTCATGCGGTGTGATAAGGATGGCTAAAACGCGGGATGCTATTTTGGAAAAAATATTTTCTTTAAAATTTAATGTGAAGGCTCCCGTAGTGATACAAGAAAATGAGATATTGTGAATTTATTTATGATTTGGGACTACGAGGCGGTACCTCGGGAGTGCCCTTGTTGATATATCTTTATGGCTGCATTTGACTTTGGTTATTTTGGTAATTTCTTTAAAGTTGTAAAATTCTGTCTTCTTTCCGCGAGGTATTATTTGTCCTTATTCTGTGAAGTTAAATTGTGACATACCACTTACTTGATTCATTCCCATTTACATTTTTTTTATTATTTTATTGTTAAACTTTTCACCATGTCTTTTATTATTCCATTAGGGCATAGGTCATCACCTCGTC